GCTGCTGTTCCCTCATTAAGACGTGTAATTACTGAGGGAGTGGTAATACTGCAGTTCAGTAAGGTGTTAGCCAAATGCTCTGGGGTGTCATTCTGATGACAGTTCTTATATAGGTAAGTCACTTCTGCCTGTCACCGCCCTCCTGTTCTGTGCTGGGATGGAGTTAACGGGCAGATGTCATCTCCAGGATAAATGAGTGACAAAAAGTATATGCTCAGTACTCTAGTGTCTGTGTTTGGCTAGCCTACTGTAAATATATGTATTCTTGTTTTGGTTCGGTTTAAATCTGTGATTGAAAGGCTGGTCACCAAAGGAGACTGAATTTGGTGTGCCTTGACCAAGAGGTTTTTAATTGATGCTGGAGGCAGAACTGCTCTGGCTGGATCTGTTTTGTCTGATGTAGCGGGGCTTACCTGACTGTGTTTCCTGATAACCTCATGCTTCTTACAGCTTTTATCACAGCTTTCACCATCAGCAGAAACCATGCATCAGGACTGCTTATCAAGGGCCATTGTGCTTTTGTCCAGATCTTCAATAATACATGGCATTGATTTTTTTTCTGTGTTGAATACTATATAGTGTTTACATTCCACAGAATAATTCAGCAGGGTAAACAGATAGTATTATTTGGAAGAAAAGTCAATATTAACTGCATTCAGGATAGTATTTGCTGTCTACCTTTGATGGAAAGCAACCTTTCTCTTGCGTGTGTTTAGAAGGGGCTATAATTTCTGTGGAGTAGTATTCTCTTAGAACACTAGTCAGATACTGTGTCCCCTGGGGCTGGTTTTGGGATCCAAGATATTGTCTATTAGCAATTTTTGCAGGCAGTAAATTCTGCTGCTGCAAGTGCCTCTGGCTGTTTTCTGGCACTGTGGCCATTCACAGCTTCAGTTCAGAGGTGGAAGTCTTCCATTATTTATCTAGTTGACCTTCTGGAGCAATTTGTAGGTGTATTTGTGCAGTGTATCTAGTGGAATTGCCTTTAATAGGGTAAACTAAGAATGCTAATGGAAATTCTGTGGTGAAGGTTGCCAATGGCTCCTGTGGTATGCTGTCTCCCATCAACTTTGCAGCAAGTGGAGATGGCAGGGCACTATGAGCTTGAATAGCCTCTGACGCTGCTGAACACCTCCAGGTTGCAGACATGGTAATATGAACATGTACTGAAATCTGCCTATCAGCAGGGAGGGTGAAGCTGCACCTGCAACGTTACATACAGGGGTTTTGTGCTGGTGGTGTTTCATCCTGCATGTGCTGTTTTGAGTAAATCTAGCTTAGGAAATTGTTAGATGGCAGTGCCCTTTGGAGTGTCGAGTAGAAAGGTCCTTCATGTACCTCTTGCTGGGTGGACTGGCTGTTATGCCGCTGAAGGATTGCTGCAGTCCCTGGGATGTTGAAGAGTTGGGGTTTTTCCCTCTTGGAGAGGTTGAGATGTACCATGTGTCCAGAGTGCTTCCCTCATCCGGAGACTATCCCTTGCTAATGATTTTTGGTGGTTTCTGGCACATCATTAAACACAGGATGAAACAATTCCTGCTTAAATAGACCCTGGCATTATCAAACATATGCACAGCTATGAATTGCTTCTGAAGAACTGGGAGGCCAGGAGTAGATGGAGCCTCTGGACAGAATATGAATGCCTTGATTTTCTAGCCCCTTGAGCAGCACTGAAGAGGGCTACTAGAACCAGCCAGTGGAGACTGAGATATAATTGCTTGCCTAGAGCAGTAACATATTTCTGTACACCAGTTGAATACCAATGAGGACAGAAGGAAGGAAGGTATCAAACAGAATTGCATGCAGGAGGAACAGGAGGATAAGTGATTAAAGGAAGGAACTCAAAGGCCAAGGCTGAAGACAATGGGCTAGTTCTGATTAGAGTGTTTTACCAGGGAGTGATTTGGATTTTTAATGATTTTTTTTTCAGGAGATGAATGAATTGCAGAGACGGTTGGTGAGAAAGCGAGCAGGAGCAAGGGGCAAGCAGCGTGACCCCAGGTGCCACTGAAAAGACTGCTGCAAAGGGGCAGGGAAAGGGAGTTGACACCAGGATAACCTAACTAGAAGCAAGCATGTCCTTCTGAGTTTGATGAGGTTAATGTCACAAGGTTTCTTACTTGGGCCTTTTTTATCCCCATACTCCTCCTTTCTGTAACTGCACACAATAACCTTTAGACAATTTAGGTTGAAGTAGCATGAACCTTTGTGTTGTGGTTTAAGCCCAGCTGGCAACTCAGAACCACACAGCCGCTCACTCACCCCACCACCAATTCTTCCACCCCCCTCTCCCAGGGGGATGGGGAGGAAAATCAAAAGAATGTAACTCCCATGGGTTGAGATAGGATAGGAGCAGTCCAGTAACTAAGATATAACACAAACCACTACTGCTACCACCGATTATAATAATGATAAGGAAAATAAAAACAGAAGAGAATACAACCATTCACCACCCACTGACCGATACCCAGCCTGACCTGAGCAGTGATCTAGCCCTGCTGGGTAACTGCCCCCAGTTTATGTACTGGGCATGACATGCTGTGGTATGAAGTACCCCTTTGGCTAGTTTGGGTCAGGTGTTCTGTCTCTGCTTCTTCCCAGCTTCTCCTGCTCCCTGGCAGAGCATGAGACTTAGAAAGTCCTTGGTCAGAGTAAGCATTACTGAGCAGCAACTAAAAACATCAGCATTATCAGCACTGTTCCCAGGCTGAAAGTCAAAAACACAGCACTACACCGGCTATTAAGAAGGAGAAAAATGACTGCTACTGCTGAACCCAGGACACTTTGAAATCACCTGCCTATGTAATTGCCAATTTAGGATACAATTTTGATAGCCTCTTACACAGATGATAGTCAGGGCCAGACTGACCTCTCTGTTACCAGAGAACTCCAGAAGAGTGCCCAATAATGCCAATTCACTGTTCTTCAGCCCAGTGCCTGCGGGGCATGGCTCATGCCAGGGATGTGGCCAAAGGCATGGCAGTGTATGGTACTGTCTGTGCTGCCTTCTGCATGTCTGCTTCATGATGATGTTGAGCAAGACTCGGTTTGCTTGAATTAGGAAAAAAAGCCTCAAACCAAACAGCATGACCTATGTCTTCAAGTCTAAGCTTCTGATAGGAAACATGCAGCTTCACAGGGTAGTTATTAAAGCACTTAACCCGTTAATAGTCTCTGAATTGTCATTTAGGATCTGGTAGTGAGAACTAAACATGGAGATCTAATGAGCTAGAAATAATGTTGGAAAGAACAGGCTTAGTGTCTCTGAGTCACTGAATGTCAGCATCTGCCTTTTCCTGAAATAATGTAGTGGAGGCTTTGGAGGGGCTGATGGGGGAGAGTGAAATCTTGCAGTACAGCCGTGATTGCTAAGCTCCAAAACCTCACTTCTGTCCTGCTTTTCTGTAGGCAGCTGCACTTTAAAAATGGATCAGAGAGGTGGTTTCAAAGCAGCAGCATTAAGGTACCTGGGCATCAGAGCCCATATTCTGCAGGACTTGTGTGCCTGCTCCAAGGTGACGTCATGGCTCTGCAGCGGCAGTGGTGGATGATGCGATGCTAGACCTGTCACTGGGTAAAGCCGAGCCACAGGGGTATTTGAGGTAGTGCTCAGAGGATTCCAACCCTGCACAAAAGCAGGGAAGGTAATCAAGCCTGAGAGCTACAGCAGGTCCTGTGTCATTTTCCTCTGTGATGTGAAGCTTCAGTGCAAACAAGCTTTGCTGCATAAGTGGCTTTAATAGGTTTGCTTTAGGGGGTGTGTTTTGAAAGGAGAATGAGACTGTGTATTTGACCTATATCCTGCACATCATGTCCAGAAAGCCTGAAAGGCATAATGTGAGGAGTGTACTCTTTACACGATGCCTTTCATTTTCACCTCCATTAATTTTATTGGATTGCTGCATTACATTTATATTGTAATTGTCAGAAACAAAAGGGAAAAAGAGGGCAAATTGTCTTGTTGCTCCCTCTGTGATGAGCTTCGGGGATTGTGTTGCTATAAAGCCACATATACGGACAACACTGTTGCCAATTAATGTGGCATCAGGTTTGGACTGAACACGTTACAGCTTTTTTGTACTGGAAGCGTTATTTGCTTTGTTAGAAAGAATCAGTGAATGAGCAATTGCAGGAGCTGCATAGAAAGGAGAAAAGACTCCTGATAGCAGCGAAATGCAAAGTGTCTCAGCCTTGCAAAGCATTATAATGTGGTTTAATTTTATAAACTTTGACCCAGATTTGCTAATTAAAAGCAAACAGAATTATGTGGTCTGTTTGTTTTTACCCAGCCAACTGATGCAGGAAAATTTAGCTGAGTTGAGCAGTGTAGCCTTTTCAGGGGGGAATGGGAAACAACTTGGTGGTGAAAACATATCCGCAGGTGAGCAGACGTTGGGCCCATAGACCTGTGTTTCACAAAGAGGAGTTCTATATGAGTATTTAAAACTCCGTACAGAGATTTCTTCAGAGTTTATGCATATATGTCAATGTATTGCCACCTTCTTGCTTATTTTCCCCTGCCACCACAATCTCTGAAATGGCTAGTGGAAATTTCTGTGCTGCCCATCCTTTTTCAGGCTCTTAGTGCACTAATTCACAGTTGTTTATGCAAACCAGAATATTTTCTTATGAATCCCTCCTAACTGAGCACGGCCTCGTTGCTTTTTCCTTTGTACAAGCCGGTCCTTTGTGAAATACGGCCCTGAGCTTCCACCTGCTGTTCAGAGTCAGAATGGCAGGTCTACCACTAGTTTGAAGAAAACGAGATATTGGGGCAGATTTCAGTCCCAAGTGTAAAATGTTGAATGAGATGAGAGTAAAATGTAAGTGACACTATCAGGCTGGTCCTGGTAAGGCTTTTGGTTTGATTCAGGCTAGCTAGCCTGATTTTCCCAGAACTTGAATAAAAAGGGTGTTATTTCCACTAATCAAATCAGCCAATTTTTAAGAAGCAGTCTGCTTTAAGTTGTACAGAATTATGCTGTTCTTCTCTTTTCCAGCTAAAAACCACAGTGACACCCAAGTGTTCTTCTACCTGTGGATTATCTTCTATTTCATCAGCTCTTGCTATACCCTAATTTGGGACCTGAAGATGGACTGGGGTCTCTTCGACAAAAATGCTGGTGAAAATACCTTTCTTCGAGAAGGAATTGTCTACCCACAGAAAGTGAGTATACTGCCTGCTTTTACATTGGGAAAGGCTTTAATATTTTAACAAAACTTACTGAGTTTAGAGCATGTTGTAGTTAGCCACTGGTGCTTCTGAATGCTATGAGCTGGGGTTTTCTAGCAGTAGAGTTCTTTTGTTTCAGAGAAATTGTTTCATGCTGTAAACTTTTCCAGCACTTGACCAGCAAGTTTTGTATCTTCCCAAAGGCCTGAAGAGGTCTCTCTTGTATGCAGAACATGTACAATGAGCTGTCCTGTTTGTCTGTCTTGTTCTTCAGGCATACTACTATTGTGCCATTGTAGAAGATGTGATCCTGCGTTTTGCGTGGACCATCCAGATATCCCTCACTTCCATGCAAATATTTCCATACGCTGGGGATATCATTTCTACTGTATTTGCCCCACTTGAGGTATTCCGGTAAGGCTGCCTGACTGAACAGTTCATTTATCTTTTCCATATGTGTTATTTGTATAATACGATCAGCTTGATGGGAAATGCCTTGGATGTGGAAGGTACTGGTCCTTGAAATGGAAGACTAGGTCTAACAGGAATGTTTAATCCCAAAGAGTGAAGAAAACCGGGGAGCTCTGTTGCAATGTGGGGTGGGTCCTTCATAACTGCATTTGCAGTTTCTTCTAAACTTGGACCTAATCCTGAGGGTTTTGGGTTTTTTGGTTGTTTGGGTTTGTTTTTTACTGAATTTCTCCTTAAAATGACCTGGTGGAAATTTCACTGGATTCTCAAGGTCACAATTTTAAAATCTCTGCATCTTTTCCAAACGTAAATTTGGATTCTGCATCATTGGTCTGGATCCTACACAGTTCCAGGGCTCTTTACATGTACTCTAGCTGGAAACCCACCCCAAAGCTTCCTGACAGGAGCAAGAAAACTTGAAGCTGAATCTCATTTACCTAGTTGGTGGAGGTTGCTTTAGCTTGTAACGCCTGGTGCCTCCATGCTGTCCAGACAAGGGCTGTCATCATTAGGACAATGAATAAGCCTGTCAGAGGTAGTGTTCTCAAGAGAGCTGGCAAGATGTTGTAGCAGTTGCTGCTGTTTCGCTTGTACTCCCAGCATGTTCCCAGCAGCACTTTGATCAGTGAGAAGAGTCAGTGGTATCCAGGTGCTTCACCAAACAAGGGCAATGTAAAAATGGAAACAAATGGGTAATTTTGCCTTTTTCTCCATCCAGGAGATTTGTGTGGAACTTCTTCCGTCTGGAAAACGAGCACCTGAACAACTGTGGTGAGTTCCGTGCCGTGAGGGACATCTCTGTGGCACCACTCAACGCTGATGACCTGACGCTCTTGGATCAGATGATGGACCAGGAAGATGGTGTACGAAATCGCCGCAAGAACAAACAGTGGAAGCGCAGCCAGAGCGTGTCCTTGCGCAGGCCTCGTCTTGCTTCACAGTACGTTTTGCCTCTCCTCCAGTGCAACAAACCAAATCATACATTGCAGCTGTTCTTAATGTGTGGGGGCCGTTTATGGACTGGGTAATCATGTGAATATCTCAGCCAAAATAGTCATTCAAAGGGAGGACAGGTCCAATTAGTAAACAAATGTGCCTCTGACTGGGGGTCAGTCCATCCTCATCTTGGAGTTCTGGTAAACCACTGGAAAAGAGAGCTCCCTTTACAAGACTTTCCTTCTGCAAAAATAGCCTGTAGCAGTCGCCAGAGGTTATAAATGCAAACCTAGAGGAGAGGTTCTCTTCAACTGGCCATTTCCATGCTTCAAACCATCCCAGGATTTCAGTTATCATTAAGGTTTCATATGTGAGATCTCAAGACTCCTTCCTCTCTCAAATCTGAACCCATGCATTTTTTTTTCTTTCCACCCATCATTCTTGCACCCTGAATTTTCCCCACCTTGCACCGCAGCTCCTGAACCTGTTGACTGCATACTTTCACTGCGGTGCCTATGCTCTGAGTATCACAGAATGCTCCAGTATCCAAGTATTACTTCTGTCCCAGCAGCATAGCTGCAGAGGGCTGCCCTTTGGCCAGGGAGCAAGCTTGGGCTCCCCCGGGATGCCGAAGCAGGGCTTGTCAAGACTGTTGTGCAATCCCTGCAGCACAAACCCCTGTTGCATCACTGCATGGGAGGGGTGGATGGGAGGAAAAGGAGGCCATGGCTGTCACGCAGAGTGCCCTGGCCTGAGTCACAGCCCTTGGGCCATGCTTGTCTTTCATCTGTGTTGGCTCCGAGTACATGGATGTGACCAGTACCAACCAGCAGAGACTGAAGAACTTTATGCAGAGGGGATGTGGGCCTGCTGTGACAGTGTTCGTGGCATTCTGTGCGGAGGGGTGGGTGCAGTGCCACAATGGACCCGGCCGCTGTGGGTGCAGCCCGGCAGAGGGCATTGTCTGTGCACACAAGACGGCTGGCAGGGTGGTGTGAGTCATGCCACGGGAGGAGGATGCTGGGGGATGGATGGGGCATATTTATAAGGCTCTGCTATTCTCAAGGAGAGTGGGAGTGTGAAACAGTTCCGGCAGCCTGCTTATTCCCTCTCCATGTAAGAAAGACTACAACACTCCCCCTAACCCTCCCCAAATGCACTGTGATTTTACTGTCTGCATGTAGTAACAGATATTACTTCTCTGCAGTGAGTGTTTTCTGTTTTTCTTTTATTTCCCCAGATCCAAGGCTTCTGACACTAAGGTATTGATAGAGGACCTAGCAAATGAAGTGAACACATGAGATGGCCACGGTCTCTTATTCCGCATTCTTTGTTTTCTCATTCTGTTCACCTCTTCCCCAAGTAACCCAATCTCTGGTACAGTTCCATCTGAAAACAGGAGAAAACACCGAACATGTTTTCCGAGCTCTTCCAAACCAGATCCTATGGACTCCAACAAGCTCACTGTGTTACATTTCTTTTCTTCTGGGTTAATTTTAATGTTCTCTTTTAAAACAATAAAATATTTTACTTTGTTTTGCCAATAAAGAGGACAGTTCAGGAAAGAAGGATTGTTTACAGTCTCAACAAGGACATACAAACCTATCTGGATAACGAAGCATCATAGGGACTCCCTCATGGGACAGTACCGAGAGCACACTCGGTTTCTGCTTGGCCCGGTTTTGACTGGTTGAAACCGGACTTAAGTTTTTAAATCTGATTTTGTTTGTTTTGGTTTTTTTCCTTCATATCCAGCGCTGAGGCACTGGCTGCACTTGCAGGGAAAGTGCACTTAGAGCAGTATCTTCATTCATGAAGCTACTTTTTAATTTGATGTAACTTTTCTTATAATTTTTTGGGAATATGATGTATCTGTTGCATATAGCTTTCACATTATTTATGAAACTTAACAACCATACGAGAATGATTTTGAGTCCTGTGCAATGAAGGTTGTAATGGGAAAACAAAGCTGGGAATATAGATGTAGATCTCCAGGGCTGTGGAGTTATGCCCTGCAAATACCCTCTCGTGAGACAACTTTCACCTATGTTTTACCTTTTCTCTCTTTCTTTCTTTTCAATTTTATTTTAAACCAAAGTTTCTGGGTTTTTTAGTTGCTGCTACTGCTTCTGAGCATGTCTTGTGCTGGTTCAACGCCAACTTTCCATGCAGCTGTGTGAAAGTAGTGCAGATGATGCTGTGGCCCTTTTGAAAGGAGAGTTGGGTCTTGCCAACAGTGCAAAAAAGCTAGGTCAACAAAGGCTTCAGAACTTTATTCTCCAGATCAGAAAGTATTTTTCAAAGCCTTAATAATCCTTAAATGGCACGAGGGCATCCCATACTGAGCAGAGGGCTCTTCCGGTGTTCTCCTGCAGCCCAGTGCAGTGAAGTGGGACAAGGCAAGGAGGTGATGGTGGGCTGGGAGAGCTTAGCAGGCTGCGGTTCAAGACTGCTGGCATGTTAGAGGGCTGCTGTGGAGCATGGGAAGGACTGTGTTGTGCCCACCTGAATGGGGAAGGTGAAACTGAAAACAGCTTTCCTCATGGCTTCTGGTTTGGCAAAAAGCCTCCTTTGGGTGCTGCCCTGTGGCTTGGCTGCTACTTGTGCCCCTTGCCATGTCTCACTAGAGCCCCACTGTCCTTCCCCTGGCACAATGCGTGCTCCCTGCCCTCTTGCAGCAGTACTGGTGGTGGAGCTGGAGCTGGGTTGGGTTGACATGCCTGAGGTCCCCAGGACTGCTGCCCTCCCCTCAGCCCGGCTCACAGCTAGGACTGCAAGGCAGGGGTGAAACTCTTGAAGTAGGATCGTCATACTGATGTCTGTCTGGTGACTCGCCTCTAGTTTGGGCAATGGAATTTTAGGAATCTCTGCTCAGTTGCTGTTTGGTGGTTTGTTTTTTAATTGGCTAATAGCATGGTTTCCCACACAACTGGTACATTGCATTTTTTCAGTTTGCCTGCTGTGCCTCTTACCCGGAGGAACTGAAGAAGGAAACTTAGCTCTCTTCATTTAATTGGAAATAGATTGTTAGAATTCATTGGTGATGAACCTGTGCCCCATGCCAGGCGAAGGGCAACACTGCAAACCTGTAACTGCCTACACTTCTGTGATGTGCTCTCAGCTTACAGAGAAGCTGTGAGGGACCTGCTGGGAGATGCCTCTGTTCTGTCAGCGGTTGGGTAGTGGCGTAGCTGCTGTCCGTTGTGGTGCTCCTCCTCGCATCTCCTGCCACGTCGGTCTGCTCCAGTGGGAGGGCAGCTGGACTAGCTGGGGTTGTGCTGCTCCTTCTTTCTGTGCCCAGGAGCCTGTTTCCCTGTATTTAACTCCCTTAGGTTTGTTGTTCATACTTAAGTGGAGGGTTCCTGTTCATATGGAAGTGGAGTCTGAGATACAAAGCCCTTAAAATATTTCCGAGTTTGTGTTGCAGCAGTTGTTGCCATGTCCAAACCTTGCATAGGTGTTTCCAGTGAGGATGGTGGGAGATGAGTGAAGCCATACCTACCCAGGAGAGTGTCAGAGGAGGGCAGCTGCACCAGGGGAACAGTCCAAAATAAGCCTGTGCCGTTATTTAAGCACATGGTTCTTTATAAACTGGAACAGCGTTTTATTGGCAATTCTTCCTTTCAGAGGGAAGGAAAAATACCGAGAGAGATTTTGAAGTGATGCCAATCCCCTGGGAGCACTCTGCCTTCCTCAGCTGGGCTGGGAGGAGCAGGCATGGCTGGGTGGCCTGCATCCTGCCTGCCTGCTGCTGCACTGTCCCACCACCTGCTTCCCAACCTGGTGGGGAGGGTCAGGTTGCAAGTACTTAAACTCTTATTCTGTAGCTTACCCAAATCCTCATGGGAAACAAGCATTCCATCTGCCTGCTCTGTTCCTTCCCTTCCCTTTTTCTCTGTCTTTGCTGGCGGGAGAAATCATGAAGAAAAGGGAGGCGACGTGCTACAGCTAGCAATCGTTATGTCCTGATGTAAAATACCATCCCTTTTGGCAGTGAAGATGTTCTCTCAGGGGAGAGTAGCCCGAATTCCCAGAGGCATGGCTTGTAAAGGCTCCCAGCGCCCTGGCGCTGTGTCTGCCTGTTCCCTCCCTCCCAGAGATTTCTGAGAAATCAGGCATGCAGATTCCTTCTGAGAGGGAGTGCTAAAGCCAGGACGGCTCCATGTCTGCGAGAACATCTGGCCAATAAGGGGAGACCTAATGAAGCAGAGCAGATGGTGAGAGAAAATAGCCCCATCGCTCCTTGTGATCAGCCTGCGTGAGGATGGCGGGGGACAGTCCAGGGTGGCTTCACTTTGTGACCTGGCTTTGCTAATGGGTGCTTGGAAACACTCCTGGAGGGAGAAGAACAGCAGGCTTGCAATCCAAAATTATGGAGAGCACAGTTAAAAAGGAGCTGTTTTGGGAGTTTTTATCCAACGCTTCAGTTGCTGGGTATAGCTGGATGGAAATTGGAAGAAGATGAGCCAGATGCTTTGGTCTGGCTGAAATCCTTGCAGATGGTACCGTCTAAGAGGAGTGTGGCTGCTGACTTTTGGAGATTCCCTTTGGACTTAGGTGTCCATGCTCATTTCCTACTGCGTTCCATCCTTCCTCCTCTTCCAGGGATTTTTGGGTTGCAGGAGGGTAGGGTTTTCAGCATCCGGAGTTTATTTGCTAGCTGGAGTTCTCTGCATGGCTTTGAGAGTGTATCTCCAGAAACTCTAGGTCCCCCTGCTTGGAGAAGGCAATGCCATGTGCTGGGGGTGCACACTCCTGGAGGGGCAGTAGGGCAGGCTTGGGCTTTATGGACTTGGCAGGCAGGAGCAGGAGTTGCTCCGTCAATGGAAACCAATGCTGTCTCACCACATTATAAAAGAAACGCATCTGCGGCACTCATGGCTGCAGCCTGTATGATTCAAATAAGCTCCTACCTCTCAAATTCAGGTGCATTCCCAAAGTCAGCTGTTGCTCATTCCTATGCCTTTCCCAGCCCTGCTGCTGGCCCTCCGTGTTCTTCCTGTGTCTTTGCTTTTTGTCTGAAGCCAGTGATATGCAGGGTGTGAAGGGGTGACTGCCAGCAGCCTTCAGCATGAACATCCTGGGGAAGGGAAAAGTCTCTTGTGGATCAGAGTTGGATCTTGTGGCTGTTCCCTAGTAATAACTTGTGCTGCTTATTCTGCCTCCTAGATGGTGCTCAGCCACTGCAGCTGTGTGGGAGGCAGGGAGGGAAAGCACGGTCCTTGGCTCAAGAGGTAGCAATCCCTGGGGATTTTACTGTGGATCTTCCAAGGAGCAAGGGAGATGGTGCAATGCCTTTGAGTTTTGTCTGTTTTGAACAGCCAAATGAATTTGGCCTCGTACTGCAAGGATGCTGCTGCATACTGCTTGCCATGGCTCGGTGTATGCCCCAGACTTTTGGGGGGGCTTGTGGCCCTGATGTTGGATCATCATGCTGGGATGTGCCCTGGGATGGGGCATGGCTTGGCTCCCATTGAGAACACAACAGCCACTTTGCTCATGCATTGCATCCTGTCCTTATCTCCTCCCTCCTCTCTTCCATTGTTCTGCTTTGCACTCACAGGGGGAAGATGATCTTCTGCCTTAAGCATATCTTTTTTTAACTTACACCTTTATTCCAGAAGGTGATTGGATTTTTTTGACTCCTTGGAAAAGAGAGAGGCTGGAGCTCCTGGGGGAAGAGTGGAAAAATCCGTGCAATAACTGCAGCAGTCACAGCTGGGCTCAGTGGCTGTCACCTCATCAAACCTTGCCTCCTTTACATGACACCATCCTAAACACCACACCTTGGGACTAGTTGTCATCCTGCCACCACTGTGCGGTTAAATTGATGTATCAGCATCCCTTGGGGGCCTCAGTCCCTGCTGCAGCATCCTGGCTGCAAGAGAAATACAGGTTTTGCAGGGGGAGGAGAGAAAAGGGATGGTCATATTGGGTGCACTCAGATGCTGATGCTCAAGCCCTGTTCCTAGTTGGAAGCTGCTCTGGCCCCAGCACAACTGTACCACAGTGAGCAAGAGGCGCCAACTCTGCCTGGGGAGATGCCCCATGGCCTGACAGCCCCCCAAGCTCTAGAAACCAAATTACAGACTCTTTGCTCCAGAGGAGAAATTGGGCAGCCTGGTAGAACTTGTGATGACCTCTCTGTCCCATGGGTCCTCCTGGTGAAGGATTGGCATTTGGAAGGGGGCTGGGGTGGAAATGCTGAAGTTCCCCCCGGTTCCTGCTGCTGCCTTCCTCTCCCCCTCCCCACTGTGTTGGTCAAAATGATCTTTCTATGAAGCCCTGTAGATGTCAAAAGTAATTATGGAGTGTGATTAGTCCTCTGTGGGTGCTTGCTTTCTTTCCTTCTCCCTTCTCTTTTGCTATCCCCTTCTCCACTCTTCTTTTTTGGCTAAGTGGAAAAGGTGAGGACAAAGAATTGCTGCTTGCTTGGACTCATGATGTATCTGTGACTGCGCTATTAGCTGTCTCCTCTTTCTCCCCAAATGGATATAATTTTTGAAGTGTGGAATACCCTTCTTGATAAGTAGGTTTTAAAAAAACTTAATGCACAATGTGATACTGT